TTGATATGTCTTTGTTTGGTTTTGGTATCAGGATAATAACGGCTTCACAGAATGAATTGGGAAGTGTTTTCCCCTCTTCTATTTTTTCTAAGAGTTTGTGAGGATTGGGGTTAATTCTTCTTTAAATTTTTTTTAGAATTCACTAATGAGCCATCTTTGTAAAAAGAAGTTTTCTGACTACTAACTCAATCTCTTTAGTCGTTACAGGTCTACTCAGATTTTCTATTTCTTCTGGAGTCAGTTTTTACAATCTATGTCTATCTAGGAATTTGTCCATTTCACCTAGGTTACATGACTTGTTGTCATACAACCATTTCCAGTATTCTCCTTTCACCCTTTTTATTTCTGTAGGGTCAATAGTAATGTTTCCTCTTTCATTCCTGATTTAGTATTTTGAGTCTTCTCTCTTTTTTTCTTGCCAGTCTAGCTAAAGGTTTTTCAATTTTGTTGATCCTTTCAAAGAACTAACTTTTGTTTTTGTTGATTTTTTTCTCTATTGTTCCAATAAGGCCTTTTTTAGTGTGCCAAGTTTCTGATGTCCACTTTACTTAACTACTGAAAATTGATGTTATAATTCAATCAAACACCTTAGTAGTTATAGAATTTCATCTCACTTGCAAAGGGATATAATATTACATAATATTATTATATATATTAGTAAAATCACCTTCCTTCCTTCCCTTCCTTTACCCACCTTATCCCCATCCTAAAAGCTCAGCTTGGCCTGGATCTTCCATCACATCTCAGTGCTGCTTACCAAACAAACACCTGTCCCAGGTAGCAGGTGTCATCAGTACCTGGGCCGACAGCATAGCCTGCCTTTTCTTCTTAGGTCCTGTGATCAAGGTACTTGCAACATGGGGAGATAAAATGGACCCCTAAGAATATGAATCTCTCAAGGGCATCCCCGAGCATCTAGCCCTCATTACATGCTCAATAAATATGTGAAGAATAAATGAAGACACTAGACGGGGCTAATATTAAGGGGTTAGTGAAGACTGTCACTAGCCAGCTTCCTCTCTAAGTGGCAGTAAGAGGTCATGCTGGCAGAGGAAGTCAATTAATAGTTAGTTCACATGTGTCAGTGTGGATAGAGAGTCCCCAAACTAGGCAATGAGGTCTGCAGGACACAGCTTCAGAGGGCGTGCCTAGGTATGCAGCCTATTTGGAATACAGCGCCACAGGATAAAGTAGGAGAACGAAAGGTGAGGCAAGGTTGTTCTGGAATATTAGAATTAAAGAGGTCAGAGTCTAGAGGGATGCCTTTGCAGTTATAAGACAAAGAGAAGACAGAGAAGGATCGAAGCGTGAAGAAACTTACTGCACAGCTTTCTCAGCAAAGATTTTTTGAAAGTTGCTAAAAAAAAAGTTTAATAGAATGTCCTAAAAAGTGGCACACAGGCAGGTATTCTGTTCTTCAGAATAATATGACCGACTATGAGAAAAAGAACAGGGGGTGGGAGTGAGAACAGAGAAAATGAACTACAGAAAGGTGTTACTTCTACTACACAGAATAATAGTATTAACTTTCCTAAAGCCAATGTAGTGAGGGGGAAGCTTTGACCCTGACGTTTCCTGTCTGTATTTCAGTGAAGAAAATCCAACAGTAAAAACAAAAAACTCTCATTCTGATTCCTCTCATCTCAGATCCCATCTAGTCTACCAGAAAGCGCAAGGGAGAATGAGCAAGGACAAGTCCAGCTCCGAGCCAGCACCCAGCAGACACAAGAGCTCACGTCTCAGACAAAAGCCGTCACCAACAAAGATGCCAGCCGCACACCCCGCTCCCAGCCACGGCCCCAATGCTAATGAGGTCAGAAAGAGCAGTTATGTGTGTCAGCTCTCTGAACATGGTTTTGAGGAAACAGAATAAAGTAACAGTAATAAAATGAACAGCTGGGAGGATAAAAGATGGCATGAAAAACAACAGCTGAAAAGATTTTCACACACACACAAGGGTCATCCTATTGTACACATCGAAACTGGGATGCTTATAGAATGCTGGCTGCAAAAGCTGACAAGGATGAAGCGCAACACTTTAAAAGAGACAGATATCAAGTCCATCTTTGAACGTGTGTTCCATGAGGGAAATTCATCAACCACATCACACTGGGAAAACTTCCCTGACCGATAAGATCACGGTTGAAACATTAACGTTCTCTTCATCGGTTTATTACCTTCTGAAAAAGAGTATTCTTTTGGCTTACAGTTTTTTGCATCAGCTTCCATCTAGGGTTTTTTGTTTTCATACAGGAGAAAACTGATGAGAGTGAGCACGACTTTGGATAAAAATTGGTACATTTTTCAGTGCTAAGATGCAAAAATTAAAATGTGATCATCTTGAACAAAAACCTCTGATCTACTTCATTTCATCTCATATGACTGGGATTAGGCTCTCTCAGAACCTGAAATAAGTATAGCAAAAACATCAGTGGTTGTAAGGATAGCAAAAATATGCACTGGTTTTAATATGGTCTTACCTATGTGTGCAGTTCACAGGTTCATGAAATAAAATAGGTAAATTAAAAAAGCAAAATGAAGGGGCCGGCCCAGTGGTATAGTGGTTAAGTTTGTGCGCTCTGCTTTGGTGGCCCGGGGTTTGCAGGTTTGGATCCCAGGTGCGGACCTATGACCACTCATCAAGCCATGCTGTGGCAGCATCCCATATACAAAGCAGAGGAAGACTGGTACAGATTTTAGCTCAGGACCAATCTTCCTCACACAAAAAAAAGTAAAATGGAAACATTAAGAAGAAAATATTATCCAAAATTCAGTTTGATAGCTTATTAAAAAGTTAAATATAAATTTACCATATAACTCAGCAATTTCACTCATACATTTCTACCCAAGAGAAATGAAAATACATGCATGAAAATTGGTATGCAAATATTCATAGCTGCATTATTCATAAGTCAAAAGTTGGAAATAATCCATATGTCCATCAACTGATGAATGGATAAATAAAACATGCTATATCCATACAACAGAATGCTATTTAGCAAGAAAGAGAAATGAAGTCTAGATATATGCTATAACACGGAAGAACTCCAAAAACAGTACGCTCAGTGAAAGAAGCCAGATGCAAGAGATCACACATTGTATGATTCCAGTTATGTGAAATGTAAAGAAAAGTAAAATCAATAGAAACAGAAAGCAGACTAATCTTTGTGTAGGGCTGAAGGGGAGAAAGGAGAGTGACTGCAAATGGGCAGGATGGAGCTTTTTGGGTGTCAGAAATGTTCTAAAATTGGATTATGGGGATGGTTGCATGACTTGATAAATATACTAAAAATCACTTAACCGTACACTTAAAATGAGTGAATTCTATGGTATGCCAATTATAGCTCAACAGATCTGTTTTAAAAATAATCCAGTAAGGTGCATAATGTAACATGCACAGATCTTAAGTGTACAACTCAGTGAATTTTAACATATGTGTGCACCCATGTAACCAGCACCCAGATCAATATATAAAACTTTCTTAGCACTTCAGAAAGTTCCCTTGCACGCTCTCCTAATCATAATTCACCACTCCCTCCACAACAGCAGTGATCACTAATCTGCTCTCTATCATCCTGATTCATTTTGTCTTTCCTGAAACTTCGATGTTTCTTTTGCTCAACACATCTGTAAGATTTATCCAAGTGGTTGCTGATAGCAGTAGTCTCTTCTTTTATACTGCTGTGGAGTATTCCATTGTATAAACATCCTGCAATTTGTTTATAAATTCTTCCGTTAAAGAACATTTAGGTTGTTTCCAGTTTGGGGCTATTATCAAAGCTGCAATGAACATTATGTTAAATGTCTGTTGGCAGACATATGCACTCATTTTTCTTGGGTAAATAGCTAGACTCAAAGAGGAATCAAATGCTTAGCTTGGATAGAAACTACTATAAAATTTTCTCAAGTAGTTAAACAAATTTCCACTCCTACTAACAACGTCTAAAAGTTCCAGCTGTCCCACCTCCTCACCAACAGCTGGTATTGTCACCTCCTCACCAACAGTTGGTATTGTCAATCTTTTTAATTTCAGCCACTATGCTAAAATTACACTGTGTGCATTGCGTGTAGGGGCATCCTGACATGGCTTTAATTTGCATTTCCTTAATAAGGATGAAATTGAGCACATTTTCATATACTTAGTGACATTTGGATATCTTCTTCAGTGAAGTGCCAGTTCAAGGTTTTTGTCCATTTTTTAACACGTTATCTTTTTCTCACTGCTTTATGGAAGTTCTTTATGCTGAATACAAATCTTTTATCAGATATATGTATTACAAATATTGTTCCCCAATTTGTGGCTTTCCTTTTCTTTCTTGTAATGGTGCCTTTGATATACAAAAGTCCATAATTTTAATGAAGTCCAATTTATCCTTATTTTCTTACATAGTCAGTGTGTTTCATGTCCTATTTAAGAAATCTTTGCCCATGCCAGGGTCATGAAGATGTTTTCCTATGTTTTCTCTTAGAAGCTTTATTGTACTACCTTTCACAGTTGAGTCTTTGATCAATGATCAAATTAATTTTTGTTTAGGAAGTCACAGTTCATTTTTTTTCCCAGGAAGATACCCATTTGATATGGCACTATTTGTTGATAAGACTGTCCTTTCCCACAGGACTGCAGGGGCATTGTGGCCATAAATCAGGTGACTATTACACATGAGTCTGTTTCTGGACTCTATCATGTTCCATTGTTCCATTTATCCCTGGGAAATGCTCTGTCTTAATCACTGAACCTTACAGTAATCTTCAGCTAGAGAACATTTTAACGCACAATTTGCTGTAGAACTTTGTCAGCTATTCTTATAAGAGAGACAAACGCCAAAAATTAACTATTCCAAGTCTTACATGTCATCATAAATCTATTTTGAAGAAGATAAATTCCTTAATCAGTAAAATGAAAACCTGAATATTTTTCACCACATAAGGCTTACAAAATCTACATGCTCTCTTATGTTAACTGCAGGAAGCTGCTGAACTCCAGAATGAAAATGCCTTACCTGAGTAAGATATATGGTATCTTTGAACGAGCGTAATGGGTCTTTGCTTTGCGGGAGTTTGAAATGAAGTCCGGCCTGAAGAAGCATCTCAGTGTTCCCATCTGCATGATGTTGGCGATGAAGCGAAAACCTGCTTCCACATGACCAGTCCTCTTCAGAAGAAATCTTCCCAGGAAAGAATTTGAGAGGCACAAATGGCAGCGTTAGGAGCCAAAGTACTTTTTTACACATTTCTGACAAACTTGCAAAGCACTCGACACACTGGAAAAGAGCTCAAGGTTTGTTCTGTGACTCTAATTTCACAGAGGCTTTTGCCATCATACTTCTTGTTGCTGAAAGGCTAGCCTTGTGCACAGTCAGTCACAAAACCAGGATTTGGCACCTACACTCCTCCCTTATTCAAACCTAGAAAGTTAGGTTTTGGCATTTCTATCAAAAGTCTTATCTTATCAAAACATATTCCTGGTTTTTTATACATTTGTTATGTGTCTTTTTAAATGTCATTTTATCTATTTAAGTAAATTGTCAAAACTGAATAATGGACTCAAATCAACATTCTGTTAAAACTGTCAATTCTTTAACAGGATAAAACATCACTATCAAGATGGTAAATGCTTTAGCACTTGCTCATTTGTTTCTCAGTGATTACTAAATACATTCAATATACACATATGTAATTTTATTTAGTTGAAGACACAAACCAAACAATGATACTCCTTTCCTCTAGTAATAAATCTTCTTTTTTAAGCCAGACACAACTTACAGGATCTTTCTTTCATCCCTTTGAGAAGCTATCATCAGGTCAAAATAAAACAAAAAAGAAACACCACACACATGTTAGTAGTGGACCTTTTACAGAAAAAAAAAAGGCAATAATTCTGGCTTGTAGGCCTATGATTTGATGAACTGTTAGCTTTTGAGAAAGATATAAGACAACTGCTGGCTCCATCTGAAAATGTCAGAGTTCTTATCCAAGTACCCCAGAAACTTTGAAAAAACTGTATTCCACCTCACCCACAAGAAACACTCAAAATTAAAAAGCTTAATCCCTGTTTATAAAATATGACTTATAATTCCCAGTAATCTTGCAGTACACAGACCAATCACCTTAAAAAGAAAAAGTTATTCTTTAGAAACTTATTTATACCAAAATGTAAGTAATGTGCATTAGCCATATTTAATGTGGAAGTTTCTCCAAATTCTCTCTACTTTTCGAAACTGTTACTGGCAGGCAGCGTAGAGAATACTACTTCCTCCTCGTATTGGTTAAGACAGTAGTATTAGCATTTAGTGACCTCGTACACAGCTCAGATGCACAGATCTTTACCAATAACCCTCCCCTCTTTCTACGCCTCTTCCTTTCCAAAGTCTGAAACACCCCTGCGGCCTCCCAGCCCTCGACTGGTCAGGATGGGAACGTACGCCATTATCTGTGAATCCAATCTTCCGTGATGTGGGAAGCTTCCTACCTTCTCACACCTGTGGTTTGGAAGTCTTGTCAATTTCAGATGTGACAATGTTACCAATTAGAAAGTGCCAGGTAAGGTTCTAATCGCTTTAAGAATATTAACTCATTTACTCCTCATAACAACCCTATGAGGAGGTCCTGTTATCACCCTATTTTACAGATGAGAAAAGCAGGCACAGAAAGGTGAAGTATCCTGCCCAGGACCCGAGCTGGTTAGTGCCCTCGAGTCCAGCCTCGTGTCCTCTGAACCCAGACGCATCTGAAGAAAATCACACTTCCACACACATCATGGACTCTATTAATAGTAACAAGAGCTTCATTTTATGGTGTTCGCTGAATCTTTACCTACGATCACATGCGCACCTGCATGTGCACACACACACTCCTCAAAGGTATTTACCGCTATTAACCCCAACTACAGAGAAGGACACTGAAATTCGAGAAGATGAAAAAATAATTTGTCCAAGGCAATATGGCTAGCGTGTGGCAGTTCTGTATCCAAATCCAGAACTGTTTATTCCAAAGCTGACGCTTTTAATCACTGTGCAATCACCTGTTGAAAATATGACTATTTTGCGAAGAAGTAATGTGTCCCACACTACAGAGAGACATTTTAATATTTTTCTTGAATACATGAAAAAAGCTCTAAATAAAACAGCCAAAGTTTTCTGTAAAGTTATTTCTTTGGTTTCTTTTCTATTCCCAGTTACATATTCAAAACGTCAACTGAGCAACGGAACTCAAGAAGAGGCAAGGACCAAGTCAAGGCTCCTAAGGAGCAGAACTTCTCCCCTTCCCTGTTCTACCATACAGTGTTGGATATCTTTGAACATCATCAGGCATTTCACAAAAACGCGGCAATTCCATTATTTTCAGGAGGTGATAGAAATCCTTATAGACTTAGAAAAAGGCTTACAATTTCTAACACTCACCTTTCTGAAATGAAGAAAAAGCAAAATGGATCACTCTGGAGTCAGACAGTGAGTCTGAATCCAGATATGCGACTTACTCTCTGGGGACCTTGAGCAAACTCACTCTCCAGGGCGTCGGTTTCCTCCTGGGCCTCAGTCAGAGGAGGGATAGGGATTATTGTCAAATGAAACCACGGGAATCAACAAACCAGGGCACCTGGTACAGAGCATCCGCTCACTACACACTTTTGCTTCTTTCATTCCTTGCTTCCCATTCTCAACACTTATTCCTCCCTGAGTCAGGATACTGAACTCCATCTCCTTCATTTTGAAACAATGGTATTCCCAAAAGATCAACCTCACAATAGGGGAGAAATAAAAAAAACAACTGTAGAACTAAGGTTATGACATTATTTATTAAAGCTAAAAATACAATAAAGGAGCTGGCCCTGTGGTCGAGTGGTTGGGTTCGCATGCTCCACTTCAGTGTCCCGGGGTTCGCCTGTTCAGATCCTGGGTGTAGACCTATGCACTCTCATGAGGCCATGCTGTGGCAGCATCCCACACAGAAGAACTAGGAGGACTTACAAGTGGGATAGACAATTATGTACTGGGGGGCTTTGGGGAGAAAAAAAAAAAGGAGGAAGATTGGCAACAGATGTCAGCTCAGGGCCAATCTTCCTTAAAAAAAAAAAAAAAAAGGAAAGCCTGGAAAAAAAAATCAATATAACTTCAATGTATAGAAGCCAATCAGTTGTGTTTAGGAGGTGAAGTTGAGGAAGATATTGAAATTGTCTTAAAACTTTTTCTGTGGTTACTTTATACAAGTGAGGGAAGAGGGAGACAAAAACCCCATGAACATTTCAACAAATGAAGACAACGCATGTGACCAAGTACAGCACCTCCCACGACACAGCATCAGCAAACCAGGACCAGAAAGGAACATCCTCACCAATAAAGGGTGGCTGTGAAAACCCACGGTTAACACCATCCTAAACGGTAGAAGACTGAGCCATTTCTCCCCAAGAAAAGGAACGAAACAAGGATGTCCATCTCACCACTTCTATCTACATTGTATTGGAGGTTCTAGCCTGGGCAAATAGGCAAGAAAACTAAATAAAAGGCATCCAAATTGGGAAGGAAGAAGTAAAACTACCTTTATCCACAGATGACATGTCTTATATAGAGAACACTCTAAAGAATTCACAAAAAAACTATTAAAACTAATAAACGGGTTCTGCAATGTTACAAAATATAAATTCAATATATAAAAACCAATTGTAGGGGCCGGCCAAGTGGTGTAGCAAAAAGAGGAAGATTGGCAATGGATGTTAGCTCAGGGCTAATCTTCCTCACACACACACACAAAAATCAATTGTACCTTTATACGCTAGCAATGAACAATCTGAAAACAAAATTAAGAAAATAATTCCATTTACAATAGAACCAAAAAAGAATAAAATACTTACGAATAAATTTAACCAAAGAAGTATCAGACTTGTACACTGAAAACTATAAAATAGTGTTAAAAGAAATTAAAGACATCACAGGTTCATGGATCAGAAGACTTAACATTGTTAAGATGGCAATACTTCGCAAACTGATCTACATGTTCAACACAATCCCTATCAAAATCCCAGCTGGCTTTTTTACAGAAACTGGCAAAGGGATCCGAAAATCCATATGAAAATGCAAGGCACCTAGGACAGTCAAAACACTCTTGAATGAAGAACAAAGTTGGTGGACTCACACTTTCTGTTTTCAAAACTTACTACAAAACTACAGTAATCGTGACAGTGTATACTGGCATAAGATAGACATATGGATCAACGGAACAGAATTGAGAATTCAGAAATAAACCTTAAGATTTATGGTCAATTGATTTTCGGCAAAGGAGTCAAAAGAATTTAATGGGGGAAAGAATAATATTTTTGGTAAATGGTGTCCAGAAAATTGGCTGCCCATATGCAAAAGAATGAACCTGGACACCTACCTCACTTCATAAAGAATAATTAACTCAAAAATAGATCATGGAGGTGGGTCAAGATGGCGGCATAAGCAGATTCTGAACTCATCTCCTCCCACGAACACAACCAGGTTACAACTATTTTTGGAAAAATTACCTTGGAGAGAAAACTGAAAACTGGATAAAAAGAACCCCCACAGCAAGGGACAGTCCTAAGGAGGAAGAGGCAGAAATTCCTCCTGGAGAGAAAAAAAGCCATCTTCAGGAGCAGTGAAGTTTCTCAGCCAGCCAGGCGGGAGCCACCCTAAGGTACGCAGCCCTCTCTGGAGAAGGGAGCTTGGAAAGGGGCTGATACTGCTATAAGCACCCTTCAGACTCAGCACAACTGAGACCAGGGTCTTACTATCTGGTTTCGTGGGCTATTAACTGCAGTGGGGATACCCCCAGAAAAGCTATCAGATGAAAGCTGAAAAGACCCGGTCTTAAAGGACCCACACACAAACTCACCCATCTCAGCAACCTAAAATCACCAGAGAGAAGGCTGACAGTCCTTTGGTGAAACGAGACCCACCTGGTGGGCTCTGAGGGCATTGGGGTGAGAGGAGGGACCTCTCCAGAGACTGAGACATTGGTGGTGGCCATTGCTGTGACCTAGTCCAGGCGTGTTGACAGAGACCCCGGCAGACACCATTGACGTTCTTCCCTTGGCCTGTTAGCCCAGGGGTCTGCAACACCCACTAGAGCGCACATTTAATCCAGTTCAGCCAGGGCAGGCAGCCTGCCCTAGGGACTGGCCCTGCCCTATAGCAAGCCCTCAGGC